GATACTTTTTAAACACACCTCGTAGGTATTGATCCATTCACTTACATATGTATCTCGTTAAAAAATCATAGATCTTAAACTTTTCGAGGTTAGAACATCATATGAAGACGCGCATAAAGCCCGACACAACAAATTTAATTTCTGAACCTTACAACTAACCTGCCAAAATTTCTAAAATACCATARAATTACGTCAATGTAAGACAAACGAGTGGTACAAATAATGCTTTCAAATGATGAAGCCTTCCTCGAAAGTAACACAGACGCCAATAGCCCAAGCGGTCTGACCGCAACGCTAAAAAATTATAAATGATGATGGATATTCGTTTTCGCTTTTTTGCCTGCAGTTTATTATAAATTTTTTTCCTTCTGCTAGCTRCAGTGAGCGTGAGAGAGAGCGGAGGCATGCTGCCGTATTCTCTGTTCCCAWTTTTCCAAAAACAAAACGCTTTAGGGAAGCAAAAAACAGCTTCGTGCCACATACAGTATACAAGCTGCTTGTGGTCGTCATACGACTTTAGGAGTGTGAAAGAAGTGGGACCACTGAGAATTACAAAACCGCAATGAAAACTTGAAAATGCAGGAAATTGGCTGGTGGTTGGTGGGGTGGTTGGGAAGTTTAGCTGAGTGAGTTCTTGTTGAAAAAAAAAAATAGTGCCGAGTTTTTAATACTTCCAAAAAGGAAGGCAGTCGTCTGTGCAACTGATATCTTAAATGAAAATAAATTGAGTGTTGCTGCTGCAGAGCGTGAAATGCGTTATCGTCGYTGAATAAATTTGTGTGTTAATTAGGGTTGTATTTCAAAATGGCCCAGCACGAAACAAGATTATGAGTTGAGTCGCAGTTGAGCGCTTTAAAAAATATGTTAAATTAAATTTGATAATTTTTCGTACTCAAAAACTAAACTCTTAGCCTTTGCTGTTCTTGACTGATTTTTAGGATTTTGCCTTAAATATTGAAGGTAATTAGACAGCAATGGCTGCTTTCACATATTTAGTGAGAATATTCCAATGAAGCGATGAAGGCTTCAATATTCCTGGTGCAGGCAGTATGAAGTAATTGAGGCTCATCTTAGGAAGGCAGCTTTTATGGGAGTCAAAGACTGGGGAGAGTGAGAAAGACATAAGTTGCCTTATACTGGTCTTACATGATGATTTGCAAACAGGTGTGGTATGTCAACCAAACTGGTGTCGGCTTACCAAAACAGTGGACAAACCAATAATGTTTTATGAGGTTGTTATCTGGTCAGCTGTGTATGTAGTAATTTGACGGATCCAGTTTTGAAAAAAACTAATATTATTTGAAAAAAAAAAAAAATTGTGAAGCGTCCCTGAAGACACAGATTATTGCATCAGGCATCTAGCGGCGGTTTTTTCTCTACACAAATACCTTTAAGGGATGTGTGGGCGTTAACCTTGTTAACCGACTTTATTGGGGTCTGGTCACAGCGGTATCACAGGTAACTGAGAAGGTGATGAGCTCGCAAAAAGGTTTCCTTACATTCCTTTCAAGATACTAAGCAAGCGCTGCTGAGCAGCCAAMATGTTTGACGTTCCGAATGCAACTCAAGATATTCTACGAACTACTTGTAATTACCAAGGTTCATCTCACCGCAGTGATAGGTGTGCTGGACACTGTCCAATAGGCGCACATGCGCTGAAATTGAATTTTGTTGAATGAAAGCTGCCAAAGCTGGACTTCTTCTCAATTGTCTGACTTGGTCAACTGTCCACTTTTCCAGATTAAGGTTGATTGGTTGGTTGGAGGGGTTTATTTTAACCGCCTCAACAAATTTGTGGTAGGCTCAGAAAGCTTTGTCGATCTGGAAGAGTGCCGTGTTCGATATCTAGGGGGTTAGCGAATCACAGACCAACATTCCTGCTGACTAATTGAGCTCTTGCATTACCTGAAGATCAAGTCTACAACCTAACCTAATTATACTTTGTAAAACCTACAGTAAAGCTTTCGGTGGTACTATGGGTTAAGCTCTTAAATATTCCTCAGCTAACAACTATACATTATGGGCACTAGGATATTCAAATTAATTTCAGCTTATGTGATACAACGGTTATGGAAACTTAAAAAACTAAAAGAGCTGGTGAAATGTTGAGAACTTTTAGATAGCTCTGACTAAGAACGCGATACTATAAATTTGATTTTAAGGCGATTAAAACCTTCTTTTTTATAAGGAACTTATTAAATCTTCACCACATATACTTAAGAAGCTTTTCTGGTATAAAACTGCAGAGAGGAAAGATGAAGGAACTGCGGACAMGTTAAAATGACACAGCATGGATAGTGATAAGGAGGTTTTAGTTGTAACTTGAGTATCATATGTCTACTGGCACCCCTGCTATCAATAGATGACATCCGAACCTACGAAGTGTTATATGAACGCTTCATTTCATTCATAAAGAGTTACGTTAACTTTTTTTTTTTTTTTGAGAAAGTACTTCCGGGAGTTTTTGTCACTAAAAGTTGTATTAATTGCTAGAGTACGAGTTTCACATGTGCTATTACCGGATACTGTAATTGAATAAATGTATACTCCCAATATTTAGGCCGAGCATTGCATTTATTATTGGATAATTCCACCGAATAGGCCACGTACAGCACGCAGTGAAGAAAACAAAGCAGACGTAGCTGAGTGTACCCGAAGACCGTGTCGACCGAATCGACTCTCGGCGGCGTTGGCAGCGACTCAGGTCGACGTATGAAAGGACAAAATATACCTTGAAAAATTTCAAGAATATCCGATGTTTTCGATCCAAATTTTGTTTAGCGATGAGGCCCATTTCTGGCCCAATGGGTATGTAAAYCAACAAAACTACCACATTTGGAACAGAGAGCAATCTAAAGAGATTTAAGAGCTGTCATTTCATTCAGAAAAAACAACGCTGTAGTATGGTTTGTGAGCCGGTGAAATCATTGGTTTACATTTCTTCAAAAATGATGTACCGGTGAGAACGTAACCATTAATGGCGACAGTTATCGCGTCATGRCAACCGACTGTTTGATGGCTGAAATTGAAGCACGTGATCTCGGTGAAATTTGGTTTCAACAAGATGGYGCCACTTTCTACACAACGCATCAATTAATGRATTTATTGAGAGAACACTTCGGTGAGCAGATAATTTCAAGTTTTGAGCCGGCCGATTGGCCACCAAGATCGTGTGATATCATACCGTTACGCTTTTTGGGGGGATATGTAACTTCTAAAGTCTATGGGAAAAATCCCGCTTCGACTCAGGCCTTGGAGCAAACAATCATGCGGTCAGTAGTCAGTTACCAGTCGAAATGCTCGAACGCGTCATCGCAACTTGGACTCAATGGATGGACAATCTGAGACTTAGCCGACGCTAACTTTTGCAAGATATTATCTTCAAAAAGTAAATGCCAMAGGATGTTCTTTCGTATGATAATAAACATTCCCCATTAACCTTGCAATTTCTGTGATTTTCCTTTAAAACAGTAGGGAATCTTGATATGGATCRCCTTTTAATTTATATAAAAATACAATAATATGGAAGCCGCTAAGCTGAGTCGCAGACGCTACTTTTGTTGCGGTGAAGACATTAGCAGCAAATTACTGGAAACACCGTTATGAACGAATGCGATTTAGCACTGAATCCACAATGAACWAAAATTCTCCGTTTACACTTTTGTTCGACACAAGAAACAGCAACAATTAGCTTAAATTAAATAGCACTTACCTCATATGACTTGCACTTTGTATTCATTCATGACCAGCAATGACGCGTCGCTCTCTTATTGGAGTAATACTAAAAGCTTGCTGAATGAAATGAAAAAAATAAACACAATAAAACAATTAAAATTTTATAATAYCGTTAGTCAGTAAAAATAATATTAGATAAAGTTATGATTGCATTGAARAGTTGAAATTGAAATCAGTTTCGTTGAGAAATCCGTTGTGGAATCAATAAATACGACAATTGACGCATATTAAAAAACAAAAACAACATTGTTGTA